AGGTTGAAGAGATTGTAGAGCACTGCAAAATAACTGTTCAAACAGTGTGTAAAAGACAACCTAAAACAAGCTTAAGATTTTGTAACTCATTGATGATGAGCACTGTAGGACATAAAAATAATGACCAAAGTGATGGCGAGAGCTTCCAAAGAGCTATATTTTATCAGGTACTTGACAGTCTCACAGCTGAACTGCAGAGGCGTTTTTCAAAGAAGAATTGTGAGATAATGCAAGGGGTCCAGTCTCTCAACCCAAAGAGTACAACATTCTTGAATGAGAAGCCTCTGTTTGCCTTTGCTCAGATATACGAGTCAGATTTAGAGGACCTCAAACATGAGGTTCATCAAACCAAGCGGCTTCTTGATAGGAGAGAGAAAAGTGGAAGTGACACACCGTCAACTCTCCTTGACTTTGTTGTGTTTCTAGAACCTTATAAAGAGGTCTTTCATGAGCTATTTCGACTTTGTAAGATTTCTGTTGTTACACCAGTCAGCACTGCTTCTTGTGAGAGAAGCTTCTCAGCTTTAAAACTGATTAAAACCCACCTTAGGACAACAATGGCTGATGACAGGTTAAGTCACATCGGAATTCTCAGTGTTGAGTCAAGGAGAGCACGCTCCCTCAACATGGATGAGTTCGTGAAACATTTTGCCAGTTCTCATCAGAACCGCAGAATTATGTTGTATTAATTGATGGGCACTAAAATTGTTTAAATTTTCCAAGTACATGTCTGCTTGATGCCTGCTATATCTAATTAAAAAAAATGTTTGTAAATGTGATTTTTTTTTGTAAATAAACAGCAGTTCAAAACAGACACATGCTACTGTATCTTATCTCCTTGGTGCTTCAGCTTTGTTTTCTGCAAATATTTTGGATGTTCAACACTTATAGTTACAAACCGAGTGACCCAATTCCTTCCACTGTGTGTGTATGTGTGCGTGTGTGTGTGTGTGTGTACCCCCGAAAATAGCAGTGACCACCCCCTGGCCACCCCATGTATAAAACTCTAGTTCCGCCACTGCTACCTGAGCATCGTTTCTGACCATGTCCATCCCTTTATGGCCACCATGTACCCATCCTCTGATGGCTACTTCCAGCAGGATAATGCACCATGTCACAAAGCTCGAATCATTTCAAATTGGTTTCTTGAACATGACAATGAGTTCACTGTACTAAAATGGCCCCCACAGTCACCTGATCTCAACCCAATAGAGCATCTTTGGGATGTGGTGGAACGGGAGCTTCGTGCCCTGGATGTGCATCCCACAAATCTCCATCAACTGCAAGATGCTATCCTATCAATATGGGCCAACATTTCTAAAGAATGCTTTCAGCACCTTGTTGAATCAATGCCACATAGAATTAAGGCAGTTCTGAAGGCGAAAGGGGGTCAAACACAGTATTAGTATGGTGTTCCTAATAATCCTTTAGGTAAGTGTATAAGGCAGAATACAGGGCAAGAAAGCAAAGAGAGATTTATTCACTAAAGATGTTCTGAATTTTTTGTTGTTGAATGTTTTGTGTTAAATAGGTCTGTGGATACATGTTTTATTCACTGAAGATTTTCAGATTTTTTTGTTCTTTATTGAAACAGATTCAAACATTGTGATTGCAACACAATCCATTGTGCTGACAATTTTTGAGAAAGTGAGAAACAGGTTGCAGGTTGTTTTAATCATATTGGTAACACTTTAGAATACGGTTCCTTCGTTAACGAATAACTACACAGGAACAAATGAGTAACACAATATTAACAATCTAGTAACTACTAATAACTAACAAGGAATTCTGATTAACGACTTAGTAAGTAACAGCGCACAGATGAAAGTGGTAGTTCACTATTAACTAATTGATAACTACTATTTTTTTTATGCTTCCCAGAGAACCACTGAAGAAGATTAATAGTTCATGCAAAACTAATCAATAACTATTCAGGACAAATGACTAGTACTACATTAACATTAATAACTGCTGTAAACAAATACACAAGGTTTATCAATATGTAATAGCATAGCAGACTTATGATTTGGGAAATAATTAGCCTATGCTCTCTCCTAGAGAACTATTTATCAACTGAATAATTTTAAAGAAATGGGTTTTTAAATGCAGTTGTCGGGACCTTACTTGTCCTGTAGTGATTCAATGCCAGTCCAGAGGAATGCCAGAAAATTGGCCAGAGTGACGGTGACGGCTGGAACATATTGAGTAACATTATCGATTATCGATATTGAGAACATATCGGCCATCCAAATATCATATACAGTGATTTTATTATTTAACCTATACCTCGCAAAAAAAAAGAGAAGATTTTATTAATGTCTCCTACCTCATACGTGTGTGCAAATATCTTGTGAAGGATTAGAAGATTCTACACTTTAGGATTGGCTTTTCATGTAATAATCATGATAACTAACTAGCAATGACTCAAGTGTTACTACATACTTCTAAAGGAATGACTAATTATTTGGATCCATATTCTAAAGTGAAGATCATGGTAACTAACTAGTAATTACTCAAGTGCATACTTCTATGGGAATTACTATCTAAAACTTCACCAAAAACCTCAAAAGCTTAAAAGAATTAGTAATTCCTTTAGAAGTAGTAACACTTGAGTAATTACTAGTTAGTTACCATGATCTTCACTTTAGAATACGGATCCAAATAATTAGTCATTCCTTTAGAAGTATGTAGTAACACTTGAGTCATTACTAGTTAGTTACCATGATTCTTACAGTGGTTCTCTGGGAAGCATTAAAAAAAAGTAGTTATTGATTAGTTAATAGTGAACTACCACTTTCATCTGTGCGCTGTTACTTATTAATTTGTTAATCAGAATTTCTTGTTAGTTATTAGCAGTTACTAGATTGTTAATATTGTGTTACTCATTTGTTCCTGTGTAGTTATTCATTAACGAAGGAACCGTATTCTAAAGTGTTACCATTATATTTGTTAATGCAGTTGTTGTCTAAATGTTATTTTATCAGAGCAATTACTTGTAATCCTACTCATGATGAATTTCTTTATTTTGCTCAATAAACTTTTAAAGGCACACTATGCAAGAATTGTACCTTGATATAACAGCTTCAAAGTCATTTCGGTGGTAAACAAACTCATAGTAGGGCGAATCATCCTGGTAATAAAGCTTGGCGAGGTCGCCGCTGGAAAAACCAGCAATGCAAGTTTGAGAGGAGCGCCCCCGACAAATCTCGCGAGAATCACGACTTGCTTTACGGCAACGACGTCACACACATCAACAACCACATATGAAGCACGAAGACACTTGCGCGCATTTCAGACGTGATACTTGACGATGGAAAAAGCAAAGAAAACGCGGTCGGAAGAGACTTGGAAAAGGAAAAGAGAATCTGACCGCGTGAGGAACCGGAAAAGAGTCCCTGATTCGCCCTCGCTATGTGTGTGCGTGTTGTGTGAGTGAGCGCGAGGGCGGGCGCGGCTGATGAGCTGATCAGCGCCAGCTGTTTTGAATGAGGATGTCCGATATATTCTTTGTTACCTCGTCCTGTCTTTGTCAGTTGGTTGTTGAGGCTACCAGGGTTCTACTCGCCGTGTTCTCCTGCATTCCACTCCTGTACCATGCTGTGGTTTCCTGAGATTTTCCCGGAGGAATTTCTACCTGTTCCTGCATCTGTGTCTGCCCACTGCGTCCCTGCGCTACCGAGCCTGAGTCTTCTTCTGTCTGCTTCCATTTTGACCCACACGGATATCTACTATTGTGCTCAATAAATAACTGTTTACTCGCAACTGAATCCTTTGACTATTTCCTTGTGACAGTCCCACTCGGTCGGGCTTTCACTAGTTGGCGCGAGCTAAAAAGCAGCACTGGATTCAACCGCGATGCTGACCTGGCGATCTTGTTGATGGATTAAGTAGCCTAAATCTCTTATTTCTAAACTTGATTGCGTTCTATGTTGTTGCGCTTGCTTGTAGTATGCCATTTTTTTTTACGATGCTGTTCATTCATCCATTGTTGATAATTAGACCAGTCCAAAAATGTCCACATATGTCTAGATAGCTATTTACGACAGTGTAAGTGTTCCACAGCGACTATAGGGGTCACTGTTTGACTAAAACACAATTTCTGCATAATGTGCCTTTAATTGTTAAACCTTTTATGCAATATTACATCTGTGGTGTTATATTACGTCTGTGGTGTTACTTCAAAACGTATCCAACATTTCTTTCCTTCAGAGCCATTTAATCTTATAATTTAACTTAAAGTTGTAGCTTTATTTTAATGATTTTTAAAATTAATTTGAACAAGAATTAATAAATGTGACTTTGTACAAAACAAGGGCGTACCGGTACAGTTGTCCAATGGTGTGACGGAATGTCCTGTGGTGTGACAAACTGAATTATAAGTGGAAAATGCATTTTAATGCACAAATTAATGTAAAAAGTGTTGAATAGTATAATAATGATGTCATCACTATGCACATATAAGGATGGAATGAAGCTTCATTAGGTTTTATACTAATTATAATGAATATAATCCAGACGTTTGGGTAAAGTCCCTATGTGTACATCTTATAGTAGGATAATAACATGATTGTGAATTTGTATTGTTTACTTTTGATGTGGGAATATAGTTAGGACAAATTGATAAGGATTGTGCATATTTGTCTTATCTGTCACACAATCTCTGAATTAAAAATGTTGTCACACCGGTGGACAATATGTGGGACTACCACACAAAAAAAAGTTAATAAAATGCTAAATAAATAAGGAATTAGAACGGGACACATTCAGTTTTGAGTTTTTCACATATTAAGCAATATAATTATATGTCATTTGACATACATTTTAGAAATATATTTTGTTCCACTTTGGATTTGAGTTCATGTCAACCACCCCTATATGACATTCTTCTTTCAGACGAATACAATCGGAGTTATATTAAAAAAATCTCCTGGCTCTTCTGAGCTTTATAATGGCAGTGATTGACCGTCTATAAAAGCGCATCCATCCATGATAAAAGTGCTCCACACGACTCTGGCGGGGTTATAAAGGCCTTTTGAAGCGAAGCGATGCAGTTGTGTAAGAAAAATATACATATTTAAAACGTTATTGACTAAAATAAGTAGCTTAGCATATATTTATTTCTGCTTTTGAAGTAACTAAAACTTACAGCTTTACCAATAGCAAAGAGACGCTACACTTACAGGTATGATTAATTCACTCTAGAAATTGTTATATCGCCAATGCATTCAAATGCAGTGCTACTTTATCTGTATCTGATTTAAAACAAGCAGAAATCTGTAAGAAATGTAACCATCCATAGACACTATAATTGCTGTTATGTGAGAGCACTAGCCTTGTGGGCAGCGAGCGCTGTGACGTGCTGCAGCTGTGCTCACGGCGACCTGAGCTCCAGTTCTGCTTCAGCTTCAGGCTTCTCAAGACAACAGCAACGTTTGTTCACATAATTTAGCCTCTAGTTGTGTTATTAACATGAATATAATGGATTAAGTATATGTTTTAAATTACAAAAAAGAGACTCATAAAGTATCATATTTATACTTTCAATAAATTAGTCTTTACATAATTTCTGATTACTAATTAGGCTGGCTAATTTTGAAAGTTTCCAATGTCAATATTGCTTGTGATCTTAATGTATGTGTATTCTTTCTGTTTACACTTTTGCATGATCATCTTTTTTAGGCTATGAGGAAAAACTCTACCATGCACACAGAGAACAGAGCTCAATGCTGCTAACTGGGCGAGCAACTGGACAACTAGAAGAGAAAAACAGTAGAACACTATTAATACAGATGACTGGAATACTCTTCTGCAAGAACCAAGACAAGCAAAGACTGATGATGAGTGCTCTGAGCAAACACAGCAGTCAAGACGCATGAGTGACTTTACTGAGTTCTTCATGTAATGTTGGGCATTTACTGTACGCAGAACTTCTAATAATTTATGTGGATGCCATTTATAAACCTGTTAGATTTCGATGTTTTAGTTTTGAGATTAATAAAATTGTATGTTTTAACAATGTTATAGCTAAGCATTTTTTTTGTTTGTTTAATAGAACATTTTGGGAACAAAAATAAAACTTCCCGCTAAACACTTTATAAGAATGTTAGGGGATAATGTTCTAAAAATGTTTATTAAACCTTTATAGAAGGTCATCACAAAACATTTTCAGAGTGTTCTTAGAAAATGTTATGCCATCTTTTAAGTGAACATTCTGGGAACAAAAAGAAAACTACTCGCTGAAAATGTTATAAGAACATTAGGGAATAATGTTCTAACAATGTTAGCATTAAACATATTTAGAATGTTTTTAAAGAATGTTATTAGAACTTTTAGGAGAACATTCTGGGAACCAAAATAAAACTACCCGCTGAAAACATTATTAGAACACTGCATGGTAATGTTCTCAGAACATTTTTAGAACAAAAAATTTCTACTTTCTCCGAGAAATGGTACGGGGGAAAAAACAACTATTTATTTGTTTACATTGAGTCACATTGTTTAAAACTTTGTCCCACTGTAAACTGGGAAAAGTTATAAAGTTTAGAAGTTAGTCGGGTCAATATATAATTGAGGGAGTTTTCATGTCCATGAGATTTATCTCGCAAACATGCTTATTAAAATAAAATTTTAAAAGTCTTCAGTGTTCTTCATGATCTTGTCTTTACAGATTCCATAGTTTATTATTATGGAAATAATCATTTATTTAAAAAAATTGACTAGATATCCCTAAAATGTCAACTAAATAACCGTCCAAAATGAATTACAACCACAATCTCATTACATAAAAAAACATTTAAAAAACTTATTCAAAAACAGTTTTAATTATAGTATTTACATTAAGTTGAGGTAATTGTGAACAATGTGTCTTTTTGGGCAATATGTCACATTTTCAATAGAAATTGACAAATTGAATATGTGTCCGAGAAGTCGCTGTCATCTAAGTTACCCATAGCAAATACACCCCTCAAGGAAGAGTGTGTTTTCCAAATCACATGACCTGCTCCACATGATGTCATTTCCTCCTGAAGAGAAAACTAGCAAGACTCCAATGTATGTTCTCCCTCCACATTTTCAGTTATTTCACCTAAAGTAGTGCTTGGGGCAAATGTGTACTTATCATATGTCAACAATGTTACTACAATGAATTCATAAACAACTTTGAATTTCAATTTTACTCAGTTGTAGATATAATATTCAGAAGAACCTCTCCGTAAAATGCCATGTGGTGTCTGGTGCTAGGCAACCATTTTGATTTTATCCATAAAAACAGCAAACATGTCAACTAGGTTACCAGTCACCTATGTTACTCTGCAAAGGTAACTTAGTTGACCAAGAGTAACATAGTTGACATTCATGACATGTTCTTATAGTTTAGTATTCATTTAATATTCTAATTGTACAATAACTATAAAATACTTTGCAATAAATATTATAAAAGTAAACTTGTTTTCAGGCAAATGCCACGATTATCTGCTGCAGAAAAGCAGCACCGAATTCGCCATTATAGCAGGTTCACCTACGTTAGGCGACCAGACCCAATCAGTGTGTCAAGCAAGCCCTAGCCACACGGGTTCTAGCCTGGCAAGCTATCCCCGATGTGTCGAGTTGGGTCATAAACACTATAAAGCGAGGTTACTTGCTCCAATTCGTTCGCAGACCCCCGAAATTTCAGGCGGTTCTCGAGACTTCGGTGAGAAGCAACGTGGGTCACGTGCTTCGCACCAAAGTACAGAATCTATTAGCAAAAGGGGCGATAGAATTAGTCCCCCCCGCGCTAAAGAATATGGGTTTTTACAGCCGCTATTTTCTGATTCCGAAAAAAGACGGCGGTCTCAGACCCATTCTAGATTTGAGACATTTGAACAAAGCTCTCATGAGACGGCCGTTCAAAATGTTAACGATCAAACATATCCTCATATCCCCTTAGTGACTGGATCCCCCTTGGATCTACCACCAAAGCAGACAAAAAGCTGTTCTGATTGTCTAAAAGACGCAGAACGCTCCCGATAGATTCTCAGCGCTCAGACAGGGCAGAGAAGATTAACCTCTCCATCCTCTGCAGAAGGAGGGAGGGCTGATAATGTCACCACCTGTGCTCTGAACAGTGTTGAGAGCACTTTAGGAACGTAACCATGTCTGGGCTTGAGGATGACTCTGGAGTCATCTGGACCCAACTCCAAACATGCAGGGCTCACAGAGAGCGCCTGCAGATCTCACACTCGCTTGATAGATGCCAACGCCATAGGAGAGCGGTCTTCAGCGAGAGGGTTTTTAGATCAACCGATTGGAGCGGTTCGAAAGGCGGACCTTTCAGAGCCCCCAGGACCGTGAAGAGGTCCAAAGGCGGCACAGACGGAGGTCTGGAGGGGTTCATTCTCCTCGCACCTTTCAGGAATCTTACGACCAGGTCTTTTCTTCCCAGTGACTGGCCAGCCGTCAGAACATGATGTGCTGCTATGGCTGCCACATACACTTTGAGCGTGGACGGGGAGCAACCCGCGTCCAGCAGCTCCTGTAAGAATGAGCGAACCACAGATATCTCACATGACTCTGGGTCAGCCTGATTTTTCGAGCACCAGCTGGAAAAACCTGACCATTTTGAAACATACAGGCGCCGAGTCGATGGGGCCCTGGCTTCAGATATAGTGCTTAAAACCTTCTCAGGAAGGTCCTTGGGTACCCGTTGAGGGGCCAAACATGGAGGGCCCATAAATCGGGTCTCGGATGCCACAATGTCCCGTTCGCCTGTGTGAGGAGGTCTTTCCTCAGTGGGACAGGCCATGGGATTGTGTCCGATAACTGAACCAGTTCCGGGAACCACGGTCTGGTTTTCCAGAGAGGGGCCACCAGAAGGACTGGGCACCCGCTCTCTCTGACCCGTTTGATGACTTGTGGAATCATCGAGACGGGGGGAAATGCATAAAGGGGACTGTTGGGCCAGCGCGTCCCTGTTCTCCGAGAAGAACAATTTGCAGTGGGTGTTGATTCTCGAGGCGAAAAGGTCGATTTCGGCCTCGCCAAACACCTTCCATATCAGACTGACCGTCTGTGGGTTCAGGGACCACTCGCCGAGGGGAGTGTTGCCCCGTGAAAGCATATCCGCGCCCACATTCTGGACGCCCGGGATATGCGCTGCTCTCAGAGAGCTCAGGTTGGTTTGTGCCCATATAGAGGAGGTCTCTCGCCATCGCATGCAGGTTCCCTGACCTGATGCCCCCCTGGCGATTCATGTAGGCCACCACTGACGTATTGTCTGTGCGGACTAAGACGTGGTGACCTCTGAGGTTCGACAGAAATGCCTTCAGGGCCAACCCAACTGCTTTCATCTCCAGACAGTTGATATGTAAGCTCTGCTCCGTGCTCGACCAGAGGCCGGATGCAGGCATGCCCTCGCGCAGCGCTCCCCAACCCAGGTTGGACGCATCTGTAAGAACCACTTTCCTCCTGGAAATTGTTCCCATTGTCACCCCCTTGTGGTACCAGTTCTGAGCCCGCCAGGGAATCAGGGTTCTTAAACAACCGTGATTCACCATATGCATATGCACCATTGCATGCACGTGTAAGCTGCCTGACTGACATGCATGAGTTGGCACACCGCGTGTCAGCCAATGCTGCATCGGGCGCATGCGCAGTAATCCCATGCGGAGTACTCGCGATGCTGCTGCCATGAGACCAAGCAGTTTCTGAAATTTCTTCAGTGGCGCGCGCTCGCGCAATCTGAAAGTGCCTGCAAGCGCTCTGGTGTGAGTCGCGCTGTTATAGCTCTCGAGTCTAAAACTGTGCCCAGAAAGATCACGCTCTGGCTGGGGGTTAGTTTGCTTTTTGAAACATTGATTGTGAAACCCAGGCATTTTAGATGGCCGAGAATCAAATCCCTGTGAGCTAATAGCTCGATTCTCGACTGTGCCAGCACCAGCCAGTTGTCGAGATAATTTAACACGCGCACTCCCTGATGTCTCAGAGGAGAAAGCGCTGCATCCACACACTTCGTGAATGTACGGGGTGCCAACGATAGACCGAATGGCAGAACGGTGTATTGATGAGCCCGGCCCCTCGAAGGCGAATCTCAAGAATGGCCTGTGACGAGGATTTATTTGAATGTGAAAGTAAGCATCTTTCAGATCCATTGTGACAAACCAATCCCCCTGGACGCACTTGCGCGAGGATATGTTTGATCGTTAACATTTTGAACGGCCGTCTCATGAGAGCGTCTCAAAATAGCAGCTGTAAAAACCCATATTCTTTAGCGCGGGGGGGACTAATTCTATCACCCCTTTTGCTAATAGATTCTGTACTTCGGTGCGAAGCACGTGACCCACGTTGCTTCTCACCGAAGTCTCGAGAACCGCCTGAAATTTCGGGGGTCTGCGAGCGAATTGCAGCGAGTAACCTCGCTTTATAGTGTTTATGACCCAACTCGACACATCGGGGATAGCTTGCCAGGCTAGAACCCGTGTGGCTAGGGCTTGACACACAGATTGGGGCTGGTCGCCTAATGTAGGGGGACCTGATACCCTTATATTGTGATTTGTGCACACATTGGGTATTGGACTGACTGTACAAGCATTTGATATATGTGCTTGTTAATAATGTTGTGATTGATCCTTGTAAACTGATGTGTGTCTGTATTTCTCCTTTATGTCATGAAATATTCAACAGGTCTTGATTAAATGCAATAAAAGATTAGCTAACATATAATAATTGATATAGTTTAGGATTGTTTTTGTTAAATACATCATCCTACTTTGTCATGTCCAGTCAACTATGTTACTTTTGTCAACTATGATACTGGGCTGTCAATTAAGTTACCATTATGTTTTTTAAAAAATATATGTATTTCAATGGTTCCCTAATCTCCAAGTAAATATTTAGAAACTGAGGACCTGTCAAATATATACCTCAGCATAATTTCATCAAGAAAATTATCATGAATCAAGCAGTTTGGAAACAAAATATACAGACCGGTTACTTCAGTACTTGAATTTTGGGGTTTCAATTGAACAAAATGTGTATTTTCTTAATTAATTGGGTATTTTAATTGAAAAGGTAGGTAAATAGACACATATTCTTCCAAGAGTAATGATTTTTTTAAATGTCTGCCATTTACTTAAAGTTAAAACTTATAGGTTTTGTCCGTAACATAGTTGACCAAATAATGAGTAAACTTCTTGTTTTTAAAACTAAATATCTGAAATCAATTATGCCTGAGCTTGGCAATGACTAAAAACAAAATATTTCAGGGATGATTTATCAGGGAAGATAATAATATTTTGTATATAAATATATTTTTTCCCAGAATTATTCAAACTCAAAATCTCCCACAATTATATATTGACCCAGTCATAAGTTCTCAATTTCGCTGCAGTTTTATATTATTACCGCATCAGCACTTTGATGAAACCAGCAGGCCATTAGAAACCAATAAGCCCCGCTTTTCAGCTGGCTGCATTCCTTGTGTAATGTAAACAGAAACGCTAGAAAGACGGACCGCGTGCAGGGCCATATCGAGATACAAATTTGAAACAATTATGAGGGTTCGGGGGGCATTCCCCCAGGGAAATTTGGATTTCTCTCATCTATGTGTGCATTTTAAGACGTCTGAAGGTAAAAAAAAAAAAAAAGAGGATAATATCTTTAAAAACATGTCAGTAGATTGTGAGCAGTAGATTATGTCAGTGGGCAGTAGATTATCCTGCTCTATCCTCACTCTTTCTTTTTATGTCTTACCTTGCCCTTACTCTTCTCCTAGAGCTTCTTTGACTGATATCCTAATTAATTTTCGTAAAAAAAAGAAAGAAAAAAAAAGTAAACATTGGGGTCAACTGATGATTTATGAATCATTTTCTTAGAAACGTTATTTACTGAAGGATACCAGGAAAGATATGAAACCAAGTTTCTTTGATTCATTCACAATACACATTTATGCCTATAACGGCTTACACGAATCCTGAACTTTATGGCTAATTCTATAGATTTGAGCTCTTATGAAAGTTGCAGATTTTTTTTTTAATCGCATCTTTGTGTCTTATGAATGGAATGGACATTAATAAAATGTAGCAATAGGCCTATTTTCAATTCAAAATGGCGAAATTAGTCAAGTTTATTCGTTTTCCAGATTATTTTTGTAGGTCGTTTAATATTTCTATCATAAAACAGCTGTCTGTCAAATATAAAATGTTATTGACGAGCTGTGAGTGAAATGCGCTCGCGTCACTTTCTTTTGCAGTTTCGCGCATGGCATTCTTCGGCGCTCAAATTCTGACTGTCTGTGGGGAAAAACCACGGCAAGGGAAAAGTCAACCACAAAATTATTGACATTATACTTGATTTTGATGTTACAAGAACACTTATTGAAATGATGGTGATGTAACTCATGGAGGGGCGCCACATGATCGAAGTTTACCATTATCTGGTAAAAACAAAACAAACAAATACACTGTGTAACGGAGGCCAGCTAGTAGTCGCTGTGCGAGTAAACCTCACTCCTCTAATCTCAATAGGCGCTCTAGCGACAGACGCTAGAGGCTGCAGTCTTTAGGCTCCTTGTTAGAGCGCCTTACTCTCACGCCGGAGACCCGCTCAGAGCGGGGTGAGAAGGACCCGGGTGGAGGGGTTACAACTGGTAAAAACAAAAATAAATCTGATTGAAACTGGATTTGTTTTGCTGTTCACGGACTTGAGGACACGATTTAAACAAAGTCACATTTATTTCACAGGGAAAAACAATCCTGACTAATTCAAATGAAGAGAAAACTGAAATAATTCACTTTTGCTGTGACAAACAAAGCATAACACAGATATTAGTCAAAAGGCAGCACTGAGGTCTATACAATTGCCATATCAAAACATTCACATTAGAACGGTCAGCAACAGCCATACATATAGTTACAGTGTCAAAGCAGATCCAGCTATACAAACAAATTCAGGCCCAACAGCTATTAGTACAGTTCAGTTAGAGGTTGCCAGATCACCATGATAAACTACCATATGTGAACTCGAGGGCCCATACATACATGGTTAGTTATGCACAAGACAAGAGTTGTCATTAGGACATCTATTGGTGACACTGTAAACATTGTGGTGAATTTATCACAAGTCGTCTCACCATCCTTAATATTGTGACCAAGATTTGCTAATACTGAATTATTATTATTATTATTAATGACTTTTTTCCAGAGATTAATTTAAAAAAAAATTGGGCAATCTGGTGGAAAAACAACAGCTAACTCTGATAAATGATATTTGGTCTGTTGGGGTCATTTGGTATAAAGCATTTGAGGCTTAGACAGAGGTAAAACATTTTCATAATCCTAACTGGTTACCTTCCCAGAAGAAAGGCCAGTGTGATTAGAATTTCAATCAGATGTTAATTACTCTCATTTTTTTAAGTTACAGAAGAGGAGAGCGTTATACTAAAAAAAAGACAGCAGCAAAACCAATATCACAATGAAAAACAAAACAAAAAAAGTGATTGTCAATTAAGTGTTTTGCTTATTTTTTGGAATGTCAGTCAATGTAAAAATGTCATGTTATAATCAATACTGTCAGATGATGCTTCTAGATTGTTTTGGTTTACCTGAATAGGCACAAACAGATACATTTAAAATATTTTGGATTTATACAATTTAAAAAAAACATTGCATGTAAAACATGCTAAGAGATTTTAAGGGTATAGATACAACAGGGTGTCTTCATTCCTTTTTTAATACATTACCTTCATAAAGATCCATAAATGTTTGCTTCACACATGCAGTGATCAATGAAATGTTCTTTTCCAGAGTCATTTCCTGGCTTTGCCAGAGTTTAAATTAGCTTTTTTGTTTATCAGTGTTTAAGGCCTGACCGTGAAGGTCAGCTGTCTGTGTCAGCAATTCATGGAAATGGTTTTAAAATCTAGAAATCTTTAAACCCTATTTTAAAACATCAGCTCTGCTGGTATTTAATATATATATATATATATATATATATATATATATATATATATATATATATATATATATATATATATATATATATATATATATATATATATATATATATATATATATATATATATATATATATATATATATATATATATATATATATATATATATATGTGGATTTTCTGAGTAAATTGAAACACTAATACATTAAACTGGCAAAGAATGAAACACCAATAAAAAAATATGCCTGTATAAATTTCTGTTTACAAAAAGTGGCACATACACCACTCGATTGAGAATCAGTGAAACTGTACAATGAGAAAATGTCAGAGAAATAGGTACAAACGTGTTTTGTGATGATTGTTTATTTTTCCAACCGATGGCTGGTGCTGTAGCCAACCAGACTCCAGAAATACTTTAAAAATCCTAGCTGCGATGAGGGTACAATGAAGCTCAGATTTATTCTGCTTGATCAAATCTGATACATTTATCCCACTTGGTAAGGTTCACTTGACAGTAAACAAAACCCTTACCTGTGCAATGATGAAACAAATCACAAAGATGACCAAAAGAGTAAAGGGTTTAGGTATTAGGGAAACAATGGGGGAAAAAGAAGAAGTAAAAATAAATGTCAAATTGATTTTTCCCAAAGTTTAAGGCCAGTTTCACACCGCACTCGTAAACAGAGTGTAAGCAGCGCATATTTTTTTCCGGCGGCCATGTTAACAGATTAGAGCATTCACACCGCACGCAGAAGCGGCACGGCAGCGTGTCACAGGAGCAGAGCAGAAGAGGCGGTGTCGCGATCGTTTCAGCGCTGAGTCTATTTTTGCTGCGCCATTCGCGCTGAATTAAAGCCAAAATGCATTGTTCTTGATCAAAATTGACCTGATTAACATGAAAAATAACACATTTTATCATAAAATCATGTAAGTGATGCGTTTCGTGTTTCACAATCACCATAAAACATTCAGCGCTGTGAAAAAAAAATTCAAAATAAATACTCAAAAACACATCACTGCCAGGAGCTTTTGCCCAAACTTCAAAGGCCTGTTTAATTAATTAAAACTAGAGGTACATCTTAATATTAAGATTACTTTTATCATGTAAACTACCTATATACAGCATGTTACATGCGTATGTGTGTGGGGCAGAGGGGAACACGGTCGCATCGCAGCAGAGTATGCTGCTTATCATAAATCAAAGCACAGGGCAGACAAGGGTCGGAGGAAAACACCGGAAAAGGTGACAGAATGGATGATACTCATCTGTATTTCCAAGCCGCGGTTCAGCTTGCGCGCGACAAACACAGCTAGTGTGAAAGCACATCAGGCGCGTGCTGCTCCCGAGTCCCGCTCTGCATACGCACAGCTTCTGCGCTGCCTCCGCACTGCTTGCGCGTCCAGTGTGAAACAGTTGTTTAAGTGAAAACAGATCTAAACTCAAATGGAGAAAGTCAGTCCCATTCAGACTGCTTCGTTTGAATCGGTTCTGCTCAGTACAATGATATGTCCATTTAACTCTTCTGGAAAGAGAACAGAAACATATCCATCACAAATGCATTGTGTGATTTCTTTTATAGATATTTATACAGTACAGCAAGGATTTAACTGAGTTCATTTTTCCATACTTGACTGGTTCCCGAAGTGACTTCTGCAATTTTCCGTTGTAACTTGTGAGAGATGGAGAGGGTGTCATCTTCACCTTCAAGATCTCGTTCCGACTCCCTCTCCCTCTTCCCTGTCACGCTTCCTCCTGTGTGCAGCAGGTGTCCTGCAGAGAGCGCACGTCACACCTCTAAATCAATTTGCACAGGTTGCCAACAGTCGCTCGCATCAAATTCAAGGCACTGATGTTTGCTTACAGAACAACCACTGGCTCTGCACCCCAATACCTAACCTCATTACTCCAGACCTACATGCCCTCCAGAAGCTTGCGTTCTGCAAGTGAACGGCGCATAGTGGTGCCATCCCAAAGAGACACAAAATCACTTTCACGGACCTTTACCTGGACTGCTGGTGGAACGACCTGCCTAACCCCCCACTTCTAAAGACGTGTCTTTTTCATCAACACATGACCCGTTCATACTACTACTTATTATTCTATTCTATTTGTATTATATATATATATATATATATATATATATATATATATATATATATATATATATATATATATATATATATATATATATATATATATATATATATATATATATATATATATATATATATAAAAACTTGCTATGTGTACTGTGCTAGACTAACTGGAAGTTGTCACAGTACTTGCATATTGTTGCCTTATTGTTGATTTGATTGCTTCTATTGTTCTCATTCAAGTCGTTTTGGATAAAAGCATTAAATGTAAATGTACTGCTGAACACCACACAGAATATTGAAAATGCATAAAAACAAGCATACATTAAAAACCTTTCCTTAAAGCGACTTCCTTAAAAAAAAATGTTTTTTAACCGTTTTGTTTTTACTGTATCATACTCGTATAACATACATGACCATTACCTGAATGTTGGGGGCCTGCCATGTCATGCGAGACATTACATTGGTAAAGTCGACTGTTGTGCCCCGTGTCGGGCATGTGGTGGTATCCTTGGAAACAAGCAAGAGAAAAGGACAGCATGAAAAAATTTATTTTACAATGTTTTGCAAATAATATTTTGCAACTATAAACCAAGTAGTGTATTATATTAGTGTACAAGGTGAAACCTAATTGCTGCTGTTTTTGTTGCGGAATTCCACTTGGTCCCTTGTGTTCTTCACTGACAAAGTTCAGCAGAATACTTCCACTCCTGTTAGCACTGGCAACAGAACTGCCCGATACAGTTGGTGCTATTGAGATGTCAGAAAGTCAATTTACACCACATAAGTATGGTGCTCAGCACATGACATGCAGGGGAAAAAACCCAAAGATAACGTGGAAATAGATTCTTAATTTATGGCCATGATATATATAGTTTTTTTTTCTGCATACCACGTGTGGGGAGCACGTTTAATTAAATTCCTTCGTTTTAGGTCAATTCGTTAGTACATAAGTATATAGTAATTAGGCCACAATTTTAACAAAACTAAAACGAGGGAATGAATTAGTACAACGTGGCCAAAAATGACAAATTAAGTTGTGGAAACAAATTCATTTGTGGCCACAATATCTTGTTTTTTATTCTTTGTGTCATGTGCACATTTTAATAATATATCATACTGTATAAAAAAGTATATAAATTATTTTATTTTATTAATCAATTATTCATGATAAAAACCTTGGTATAAAAAAATTATTTCTTTTAAGTTAGCCATAAAGTTATGTTATCCTTTGTTATCTGTGAGTATTTCTCAGACTTTTAAAGAAAAAATAACTACTCATAGGCTGCAAGAAGTAGAAGTTGTTACTACTTTGTAATCTCAAATTAAGTGGGGAAAAACAATGACTTTCACCTGGTGTATTGGTCCCGGACTGCTGTTCCCCTGGGTAGTACGCCATCCCATTCCCATTTCCGTTGTGTGTGGATGGTACGGAGGCCAGAAGTCCTGGAAAAACATAGAAAAACATAGAAAGTAGAATTATCCTCCACTGCTATAATGCACCAATACATTTGCTAGCACTTCAAACACGTTTACTCTATTTCCACATACAGCTGTTTCATGCAGCCATTTCTGAAGTCATAATTGCACAAGGCTTCTTTTCAGGGATAAACGTGATTGCATGTAAGCTAGCTATTTGTTACAAGAAAGAAATTCTTGCCAAGTCCTCTGTAGCGTGAAAGTTGTTGGTAGATCTGCTTCATCCTCTCGATATTGAGGCGGCTCGCTTCAGCGTGGTTTACCATTGGTTTGGGGTAGTGGACGCCGATGATGCACTTGGCAGCGGCCTGCACTAAGTCTGGGGCATTCCATGGGTCGTAGATATATTTGGCAGGGAAACCTCGGAGAATGGGTAAATATCGTCTGAAAGAACAAAGAGATTAAACCAGTCTCATCATAAACATGAGAAAGGTTACGCGAGATGGTTATTGGGTACCCATGTGGGTACAACAAGAACACGGTTTCTCCGATTACAACAAGCACCAAGAATGCAGCGTGTTAGTGATTAATTTACAAGAATCTCAAAATGGTAAGTCACATTTAACTGAGTTTGTGAATTTATGGATATGTGCCAATTCATACTACTAATGAAACGGTCAACACCATAACAACAACAAAAAGGGAAAAGAACTGAAAAATTCAGTAAGGCTCTACTAAAATCAGGTCTTGCATCACTCCTCCAGGTCCCAGGGACAGAAAAGGCCACCTACCTAAGGTGCTCCACCTTACCACATCATGGGGACAGAGGGCTGCAGGAGGCACTGCTTGCAGACAGACGGACGCAGTTTAAACAGGGCAACAGGTCCCGCCTATTACGGAGATTCCTACTACAACACGCATTAGAAAGAGGCAGTGACCAGACCCTCCCAATACCTCCAGATCTAATGACACAGCACCCTCCCACAACCCCATCCCACCCGCTTAAAAAAAATCGAAACTCAGGGCTGAGTGAGAGGTTCAGTTCGCTCCCTGCCCCTCGCATGATCATTTTTGAGACGACAGCGATCCCGAGCCAAAGCAGAGAAACCTGCTAGCTGCCAAAGAAGAAATGCAGTATACTGTCCTCTACTGCTGGGTGGCCCCCTCGTTTTGCCAAGAGATCAGAACCCTTTTGCCAGGAACAGTCACATCCTGCCTGAACAAGCAAATGACCAGAAACACGTTACATCTACAGAAGCACATTTGAGAAATTGCAGGACGACCTATGGACCGTGAGCGACTTCGCTGGAACGGTGGTGCGCTGAAGGCGAGGACTCTTGTTCTCTTGCAGAAGCAGGGCAACATTCAACGCTTAGAGGAATGCTAAACATTTCAAAAAGAGTCTGATAAGGAGAAGTTCTCCAGAGCTAGACTGAAGTCGTTTGCTCTGGCTTTGGGCTTCACCTCCCATCATGCTCTCAGGAAATGCATTGTGGAAATGCTTTCCATGCTCTCAGGGAAATGCATTGCGGCCTGGTCTGTCATGCAAACAGACCAGGCTTTGAATATTTTCCTACCAAGCAGTTAAAATACCCTTTGATGAAACAAGATGCTACCGAGCAAAAGAGCAGGCTACTGCATTTCCCGCTGATAAAGCATCAAGCTTCCAACCACATTCACAGCTAACAGGTTTCCAAATGCTTTGGCTGAGAAGGGCTTTCGTCTTAAAAGCAATCAACCACAATTCACAAAGGGGAAAGGGAAAGCTGAACTTTTCACCCAATCCGCAAAGCAACTAGACACAAGAAACACAAAAACATACAACCTTTTGGTTAAAATGCATATGAGCTACAAAATGTGGTAACAAATGTTTACAAGCAAACATCTGTTCCTTGATGTGGCCTATAAAGAGGATAATGTGTTGGGAAAGTCCAAAATCCTGGAATACCAACTTCTGGAACTAGAAGGCCTTAGGTAGAAAAGTTCAAACAAAAAGAGACTACATGGGACAGGCTTGCTTTCCTGACTAATTCATATAGGAAGGTACTTATACAATTCTAGACCTCAAATGATACTTTTGTGCATCTCAGTCAGATAAACTATAAAGACAAATGCTGCCCTATAGTACAATAAAAGTTGTGTATATGCATATACATTCCTCTAATGGAGTTACTTTAAATGTTTCCTCATTTTATTAATCTGTCCTTCCATGTGGTTAACTTTTATGCATTTTAGATTTTAAACAAGGGCCCTTTGGTGAAAGCAGGTAATTCAGCCTGGGATTAGTGTGCATGTTTGGGAATGTTACCAACCTAATGAAATCGCCGTTAGGGTCGGTGCGTCTGCCGAAACTCACTGGACAGTAGCAATGAAAGAACTGTTGAAAGAAAGAGCTACAGGAGAGCCACATCCAGCTGCCTGCGTTCACGCTCCAGTCAGCATCCAAAAGAAGCTCCTCAAACACCTGTCAATCATAACTACCATTACTCTGCAACCGATCAGTGATGGTTGAAATTAACATATAACCCATTAAAATGAGACCTACTGCCCTACCGTTAAAAAGTTTGGGGTTAGTCAGTCTTTTTTTTTTTTTCATGGCTTTTCATTTCAACCTTTCTGACATGAAAAGTGCCATTTTTAAATTTCAATAATTAGATCTCATCCTCATTAAGCATCCTTCTCATGTATTCAAAGTATTGTACTGAGAAAAAAAAGCAGACCATACTGCATCACCGCCATGAGCACAAGAGGGACTGTGTTATTCAACTGACCCATGCAGAGCAGCCCACTGAAAGAGCGGAACGGATCAACTTGTATTGAAAAAGGTATGGTTGAAACTAGTCTTCTCTCACTGCAATAGGTTGCACATGTAAATGGACCTATTCATTTAATAAAACATGCTGCAAGAGGGTTTTTGCCATGCAATTTGAAATTTCTAATATGTGCATTAGTTTGCTGAACCCTGCTCTATAACACGAGTTTTAATATTTTAGATGTCACAGACTCACAATATGATCATCCATGAGCAATGGACCCCACCCTAAAAGGAAGCTATATATTTAGCACCTTCATGCCCTCTTCCCAACTGATCCACAGGTCTCCACGAGTGAGAAAACAAGCGACAGCATGACGAGCCAGGTGGTGGATCCAGCCTTCCTGCCGCAACTGGGTCATGATAGCATCGATCCAGGGAAAACCTGTCTTAGCTTCAGCCCACTTGGCCAAAGCCTCTGGGTTCTTGTCCCAGGGGATGCGCACACAGATCGGGTTGCCTTCCATCTTATCAAATCGTGGGTTGGTGGTGGCAGCAGTGTAGAAAAATTCCCTCCACAGCAGCTGACCGTAGAGGGAGAGTGGAGGAGTGCTGGTTTTCTTTACCTGAAAGGAGAAATTTCACACATAGATATTTATATTCATTTATACTTATGCAAACAGTATATTACCACATGGTTAACTAACATATAAAGCATTTTAAGCTGAATTTTCAGAAGAAAATAAAACCGACATTACTATATAAGATGTATAGCATTACCGCCCACCCCTAATCAATTCACCTGTATTAAAAAGTGAAATAATGTGAGCACACTAGGTTTATACACAGATAGTTAGTGTAGAATCATGTCTGTACCTTCCTGTAAAGGTCTGTGAGATTAAAATAGAAGAGGCGGCAGGATAGGCAGCCGAAACGGAGGTAGGGACTCAGGCCAGTCGGACTGGCCAACAAAGAGTTGGCATTCATTCTGGGTCTTTCAAAATTTGCAACCCAAGCCTGGAAAAACATGAGTAAGGAGGGAAAATGTAAAGTCTTAGAAAGACATGAGGGTGAGCAAATGACAATATACATTTTTGGGTGAACTATCTTTTTGTGCTTCTTTAAATATATCTGAAGTTAAAAGCAAAAAAAATAATAATAATTCACTTTCAGCCTGTTTTCCCATAGTTCTGTTAAAGCTTAACATTGGCCTAATGTATCTGAAAAGGTCCATCAATAACTGTAAAACCAGGCATTTATAGTGAAAATTCATTGTTGTAAAACCACCTTCTGTTGTATTTGTTTTAGCTGTTAAACACCACCTGGCATATGGCCCCAGGTAATAAGAGTTTGAGTCCCCTGCTGTACATCTATATGTGATCACACCTTTCGCTCCAGATGCCTTTCAATCCTTGTTAATGCCTCTGTTTCACCTCCTGGCCAGACAGCAGAAGGTAGTCCCTCAATGTCAAATCCTGAATCAAGATAATGTAGGTTAAAGAACCAATACTAATCTTGCATAACCTGATGGGTTCCCGTGTTGCAGTTTATGAAACTCGTGAATATGCGTTAGATCACAGGAAATGGACACAGTGATTGTATCATTTAGGTCAAGTGTATTTAATTTTAAAATTGTTTCTAATATACTGGGAATCTTTATTTTAAAATTCATTTTAATTAACATTCCAAACTGACTTAACTAAAATTCACCTGAAACCTGACAGATAAAGCTCTTTATCTCATTTAGCTCACCTAGTTCTTCCAGGGAGGGCACACCATATTTGTCCCCATGGTCATCAGAGACAGGTGTGACGCAGCTGCCCATAATGGTGTTGGAGAGGGTTTCCACTGGCATCTCCGGTGGGTCTATTCGGCTGATCAGAGTCTGGAAACGTTTGTACGTGAGGGGAGGCTGACCACCATTTAGCTCAATGATCCTGAAATAATGGAGATGGTAAACTAATTAAAAAATAAAATATAAAAATGAAAAAGAATATAGCTAAATAAATCAAATGTAAAAGAATATATAGCAAAACTAATGGTCCAACAGAAGTGATGTTAGATTTTAAATGGGTAAAGATCATTAAAGCTGAAGTGTGTTGTTTCTGTGACATTAGCATCAGCAAAAATTTGCTTAGAGAATAAAAAAATAAAAACAAACAAACAAGTAAATATCAAACATGCTTCCTGAACTCTCCCCAAGTGCCATTTGGTTGAACAAAAGTTACTGTTGGGCTAGTGGGATGCCACAGTGTAACACTTTTTGGGCAAAATTAACCTACAAATGGCTTACTTATAAATGTACATTAAGCAGGTATAGGAGAATGTAAATATCAAAAATCATTTCAGATTTAAGGAAAATAACTCTTACTTATCGAGGTTGTAAAGGGTGTGTGAGGTCTTGACAATGACTTCAACTCCAGCTTCCATCGCAAGCTTTTTAATAGCTGCATCCCTCTCCTTCCCAAATGGCTCGGAGTCATACTCAAAGGTCAACCTGGATATTTTCCACTCCTGCAAAAACAGATTACAAACACTGGATAGTTATTCAAAAAAATCAGGGCAGTGGATTGAACTAAATTGTAATGTGTGACTTTCAGAAAGAAATACTGCAAGTTCTTGTGTGACACTTAAAGGGATACTTCAGGATTTAGCATTAAGCTTTGTATTAGTAGAAAACCTGTAGTATTTTCGAATTACCATGCTTTCCACCCTCATATCCTTCTGAGACAAGAGATTTATGTATTTTTTTGTCTGGAAAAAATCCTCCGATGACACAAAAATCGGCATTTTGTGTCATCGGAGGATTTTTTGGCCAGAGGCTAAAGACTACAGTCAGTAGTAGGGGCTGTCCCGCATATTCTCAACCCGCCCATAGAGGGTGGGATCTCACTCACCGAATGTACACGTAGTGTCAGCCATCTTTTTTTTGGAAGCTAAGCTAGCAGGCTCTTGTTCTGTGGAGAAAGCTGAGTAGTAGGGGTTACCATCCTCTTTTTCCCGGACATGTCCGGCCGTCGATGTCCGGGATTCAGCTTTTGCTTTCTGCAGTCACCATTCATTGTTTACATGCACACCTTTTGTTTCAATCTAACTGAATTCATTCCGATTGGTGAATCTGAATGTAGTGTTTACATGAACGCTAAACAAGTGATCGGTTGATAACATTGCTAAGAAAATTCCCGCTCCTCCGTGAGAGATACGAGACCGGTGCGTCTCACAGGTGTCGCTCATCTGTAATCACGCCACCGGCCTTGCGCCGTTCTCCCGCGGCCCTCAGTCTCGTCCTGCTCGCCACAGTAAACATAATGAATGGCAACTGTAGAACGCAAAAGCCGAATCCTGGACATTTTGGGCGATCTCGAAACACATTTTCGGGCAGACTCATCACGGAGACTCATTAGTAGCCTAGACTTGTTGTTTAACTACTGCGCTCTGTTACCGGTAGGCGTGGCCTCCTAGGGCAGCGAAGCAAGTGCATTCTGGGAGTTGTTGTCTTTCATCCACATAAGCCAAAAATACATTTTCTGGCTTTTCTCAGTCTAGAAAGCTCCAAATTCAAAAATAATTTCACATTTCTTCTACATAAATGACCCATTTTAAATACATATTCATCTTTCCAGAGGTGAAGTATCCCTTTAATTCAAGGACTGTATTTTCAACTGAAGAATTTCACCTTGAAAAGGCGTGGAAAAACATTGGCTGGTTGTCCTCGGATGACAAAAAGGCGGGAATTGAGTTTTCTTAGATTGGAATCAAGATCATCCAGGCACTGCAGGAGAAATCTGTCAGGAAAAATTCAAAATTTAACATGACTGACTTACAGAATTATATTTTAAAACCCCCTAAACATTACTGCTATAGGAACTATTGCCATCCACAATTTATTAGACAGTTTTTTTTATGCTTTACTAATGTAAATTCCTGTATAGGTATTTTTGCATATTTTTTCCACCATAAAAGCAGATCCGCCTCCAATGGAATGATTCTAATATGAGTCAAATATATATCAATAAGTATATGTTTTTATATAATGTATGACACTTTAAGATTGGCTATATTGATTCAAATTCCAAAATATAGTGAACACTGTAGTGAATAGATGGTACTGACATGTCCTGTTTTGACTTGACCAGGGACTTGGCCTGAAAAGTTTGAGAACTATTGATCTACAGCAAATCCCTGAGGATTTACCTGTTCTGCAAGCTGTCCCTCAAACATACAGATACTCTAAGTTTCCATTCACAAATCTGTTCATTCATGACCTGTTTAAAACGTTAGGAGCTTAACTGCTATACACATCTGCCTTACCGGGACATAAGTACTAGAGTCTTTAAAGAGAGACAATGAATAAATCAGCAAACAGATGATTAAGTGCTTAGCAACTAAATAATGCACTTGTACTTTTGACTTTTTTTTTTTTATTCAAGCCTACAGTTGGTATCCATGCCCCACTCAATTACAGTGTACAATTTTAAATATTAAATATGTGTGAAGAGTGAGTAAGTAAAGTTTATTTGTATACCACCTTTCACAGACAAGGAAGGGTCACAAAGTGCTGCACAGTAATAAAAATAAACAGTAAAATAAAACAACAACTGTACAAGTACAAACCTGGTACAACTCCATAACTGTACTACCATCAATTTCCATAAAAATTCAATAACAAACAAATCATATTGTTAGTTAAAAGCTTGTCCAAAAAGATGAGTCTTTAAGTGTTTTTTAAAAGATTCCACAGAACTCTTAGTTTCAGAGCTTAGGAGCCACAACACAAAAAGCACGGTCACCTCTTGTCCTAAGGCGTGTTCTGGGAACAGTTAAAAGATCTTGGCCTGAAGACCTCAGAGACCGATATGGAGTATGCATTTGTAATAGATCCTGGACGTAAGAGGGTGCTTGACCATGCAAGGCTCTCAAAGTAATAACCAAAATTTTAAAATGTACTCTAAAACCAACAGGAAGCCAATGAAGGGCCTTCAGCACAGGAGTAATGTGTGACCTCCTGCTGGTCCTAGTCAAAAGCCTAGCCACTGCATTTTGTACAACTTGCAGTCGATCTATAGAAGATTTATTTAAACAAGTGTACAGCACATTGCAACAGTCCAATCTTGAAGAAATAAAAGCATGAACGAGCATCTCCATCTCTTTTTTTTGAAACCATAGATCTAATCTTTGCAATGTTCCTGAGATGAAAAAAAAAACAGGTGTCTAGAGCAGATAGTCTAACAGACCCACTGTCACACGGCAGGTTAGAACAAACTTTTTTTTATAATATATTAGGCCCCATTTACACTGCATGGTTCAAGTGACCCAAATCCGATTTTTTCCTCTCATGTGGCACAGATCGGATATGACCCATGAACGTGTAAGCAGGAAAAAACTGCATGGATTCCGATTTTCTCAGATCGGATTCAGGCCTCACTCATATGTGGTAATAAATCGGATATGAATCGGATACGTGCATTTGCGTCTGCCATGTAAGCAGACAAATCGGATATTGCCCAGTAAATGCGAGTCGTACGTCATTAAAAAAGTGAATAAAAAATTTCATGTCTTTTGAGTGTTTGGGGCGAAGAGACAGTGCAGGCAAAAATGCAGGGTTGTTACAGAAATAAATCCGTGTTTGAAGACATTTCACGAGATATGGGGAGGCACGGTTTTAAGCGCTCGTGGCTACAGTGCCACCGTAAGATAAAAAGCTTAAATGACTTTTAAAAATATTGTGGAAAGCAAAACACTGGATAATTTTATTCACATCTGCATCCATTGTATTTCGTGCTGTTTTACTTCCTTTTCCGGGTCAGAACATCTACATTTGGTAGTTTCAGCAGTGTATAGTGTAAATGCAAAAATCGGATATGGGTCACTTTTAAAAGATGATGTAAGCGGGTCGTCAAAAAAATCAGATATAGTCAGAAAATCGGATTTGGGCATCAAGACCCCATGTCTGTTATTTGGTCCTAGAGTCCTGACTGAGCCCAAAGTCTGCAACCAAAGCCCAGATTAGGGACCAGACAAGGCTGACCAGTCGACACACAACTGCACAACACGCATATAAACACACACACCTGCATTTATAAAATACAAAAGAATGAGACAGAACACAAAAACTAATAGCTATTGGGAGTATGAGGATGGAAAACCGATGTCTGTGAAACAGCCTGTGAAAATCCAGTTCCCATGCTTTGGTCGACTAGAAGACTGTGATGATCCTTTGATCTTTTTGGAGAAATGTTATGATTTCATGGCACTCCACCCTCTTTCTGATGAAGAATTAATAGCAACACTCAGGAATGTGCTCCATGGAACAGCTAGAGACTGGTGGGATGTTGCTCGACTTGAGACAAACACTTGGCAGGAGTTTGAATCTAAGTTTCTTTCTGCGTTCTTGTCAGAAGACTATGAGGATGAGTTGGCAGAGAGAGTAAGAACACGTGTACAGCAGGAGGGTGAGAGCATAAGAGATTTTGCTTATATGTACCGAGCTCTCTGCAAACGCTGGAAGCCACAAATTGAAGAGGATGACGTTATTAAGCTGATCTTGAAGAACATCAATCCTCAGATGGCAAGTCAACTTCGAAGTAATGGAGTTACCTCTGTTGATGGTTTAGTCCGTCTTGGACAACAGCTAGAAAAAGACAAGGAAAACCAGCTACAATATGAACAACGGAAAAAACCTTGGAAACTCAGAGTATCCAGCCCTGCTCCGGTTCAGTTGAATAACCCAGTAATCGCTTCAGTACCACAGGACTCTGCTAAATCTCCCTTCTGTTGGCGGTGTAAGGGCCCTCACGCTCCGAATTCTTGTCCTCAGGGCGGTCCTGCGAAGAACAAAAACTATAAAGGTCAGCAAAGTTCACATCCTGTTAAAGGTAACCATGATAATCATCCTACTGTTAGCACTGTCACTCATATGGAGTCTGTATACTCACCTACTCATCCATTCTCCGCATCTCTACCACAGCAGTTGATTGTTCCTGTAAATATTGACTCTTGGCAAGGTCAAGCTTTGGTTGACACAGGATCTTCATATACACTGTTAAATGAAAAGCTGTGGTTAACCCTGGGTTATCATACTCAACAGCTCAGATCCTGGATTGAGGGTCCCATTTATCTGGCTGATGGAGGAGCTCGGCAACCATTAGGATGGGGTGAAGTACAAATTACAGTGCAAACATTAACAGTCACCTTACCAGTGGTTGTCCTTGCCCCACAGATGCTTGCCTTTCCTGTTGTGTTGGGTTTAGATTATCTTTTCTTCAGTGGACTGCAAATGGACATCCGGAACAATGTCTATTGGTTTCATCCTGATCAAAAATATTCTTTTCTGAAAAATGATGATCACTTCCATGACTGGAATAATTCTTCTCCTCTTGCTCTTTTTTCTGCTCTTCCCCCTGGTACAACAGAGGAAGAACCAAACCATCTGCATGTAGCATGCCAAAACACCTGCCTAGATGAAAGGGGAAAGGAACGTTTTCTGACACAACTCAACCAGAATTCTGATGTCTGCACAGATGTTTTGGGTAAAACAAGTGTTTTGACACACAGAGTTTATGTTACCCAAGATGTTCCTATAAGACAAAAGCCTTATCGTGTTTCTCCTACGAAGCAGAAGGTTATCAAACAGCTCATTGATGAGATGTTAGCTGCTGATGTCATCGAGCCTTCCTCCTCAGCATGGTCTTCTCCCGTGGTATTGATTCCTAAGAAAACAGGAGGATATCGTTTCTGTGTAGACTACCGAAAGGTAAATTCAGTCTCTCAATCAGATGCCTATCCGCTTCCTACCATCCAAGAAATCCTTGAGTCCTTGAGTGGTGCTGTCGTTTTTTCCACCCTGGACCTAAACAGTGGATATTGGCAGGTTCGTATGGAAGAGGAAAGTCAAGATAAAACTGCCTTCATTTGCAGTCAGGGGCTATTTAATTTCAAGGTCATGGCTTTTGGCCTCAAAAATGCACCAGCGACCTTCCAGCGGTTGATGGAGAGAGTCCTGGGAGAGCTACAGCGTAAGAACTGTTTCGTCTATTTAGACGATATAATTATCTACTCTTCATCAATGGAACAGCACTTCCAGGACATCCAGGCTGTTTTGGATAAACTCAAAGACGCAAACCTGACTGTTAATATGAAGAAAACACATTTCTTCCGTACTTCTCTGAAGTTTCTTGGCCACATTGTGACTGCTACAGGAATTAAGGCCGATCCAGAAAAGACCAGAGCAGTCCAAGAATTTCCTGTGCCAAAGAACATGAAGGAAGTCCAGAGATTTTTGGGCATGGCCGGTTGGTATCATCGGTTTGTACCGAACTTTTCTCAAGTGGCCGAACCCCTGAATGCCTTAAAAAGAAAAGGTGCCAAATTCCTTTGGACTTCGCAATGTCAATTTTCTTTTCAAGCTCTAAAACAGCTCATTGTGTCTCCACCTGTGTTGGGACATCCTAATCTGAATCTGCCATTTGTCATCTACACTGATGCAAGTGAGGTCGGCTTGGGAGCTGTCCTTGTGCAGCAAACAGGACTGGGCACGGAGGAAGTTCTGGCATTTGCCAGTCGTACCTTAAATCCGGCAGAAAGAAATTACACGACCACCGAGCAAGAATGTTTGGCAGTCGTGTGGGCCCTTGAAAAATGGAGGTACTACTTGGAAGGAAAATTCTTCACGGTCGTCACTGATCATTCTTCCTTGATGTGGGTGTTCAAAACACAGAAACCTAACACTCGTCTAATTCGGTGGGCTCTTCGACTCCAGGAATTCAACTTCACAGTGGAGTACAGG